GTTTCATAATGTTCTAACAACTCGTTAGTAAAAAAGTAATTAATGTTTGGTGAGTTCGGATTTTCTCCCAATTTTTCTTCCATTTCTAGTTTAAGTATTCTATCCAAGATATGATGTTGACATGGTACAAATTGAGGTTTTTGTAATCCTTTTTTTTGAAAAATGTCCTGAAGTTTTACAACAACACCATTTTTCTTTCCGGTATTGACATTTGTAGTACCTGTCACAATCATTTTAATTGAATTCCATAGTTTAAATTCATCTATAATATCAGCTATGGCATTAATAATAGTGATAGATTTTCCATCTATTAACTTCAGTGCGCCCGACTTTATTTCACTTCTTTCATTTTTAAGAACGACAACCTGATACTCCCATTAGTCTATATGCTTTCCATCGAAGTGTAGACTCCAATTCTCATTCTTTAAATCTTGAATTAAAGTTTCTTTAAATTGTTTTGCTTCATTAAAAAGAGCCTTGTATATTCCAGACTGTGATGGCGCTGGAACATGTATGCCTTCTGAGGACAGTATTTTACCTATTTTAGAAGCTTTCTTAGTTGATACCTTAGCACAAACCACTAACTTTGTTGCTATTTTACAACTAATATATTTTTTACGTCTTTTCTTCAAATTATTATATTCTTCATCTGTAATTTCATTATCTATCTCAAATTGTTCATCAGTTTCTTCAAATTCGGATCTAGAGTTGTCTCTTTCTATTTTACTACTTTCAGTAAATGAAGAAAAACTTTTAGATGCTGAAGGTTGGCTGGAAAGTTTTTGCACAATTGATGGATGAATAGTCTTCTTTCCTGCCAGCTTTGAAGTAGCATATCCAATTTCTCCTTTGCTTTGTAACTGAATTTCATAAAATCTTTTATCTTCAGATGATAACCAAATGCCATTTTGATTTGTTATATGAAAAATCTCTTTTTGCAGAAGGTCGGCATTCGCTTTTTTTCTGAGACTTTCATATTTTTCTATAACATCATTAATCTTTTGCTTCACTGACTGCTCTGTCAGACATGGGAAATTTAATTGTTCTTTCCACAAACTTATAACTTCTTCTGAAATAAGATCTATCCTTTGCTTTTTGGCTTTCACATCAGTACTAGACAAATACTTAAACCTGCTAACAATATCACTTTTTAATGGCATTTTGGAATATTCTTGAAAAGATGTTTCTAACATTGGAAACTGTCTACTTTAATGCGAATCTTGAAATTTCACAAGATTTTTTTTATGTCTCTTTAATTTTTTCAACACTTGATTGGCAGTATTTGTATGCCATTTTAATTAAAAGCAGCACAAAAAAATCTGAAATTAATTAATAAACAATTAGGCACAGCAGTGAAAAACTAGAAATTATAAAGTGGTAATGCATACGTCTGGTATGTATTTAAAATTATATATATAATATATACTAACCGTCTATATATATTTTATTATATATAATATAATAATATAATATAATAAAATATATATAGAGGGTTATGACTTCTTTAACTTATGTTTTCTGGCCCATATGTAATATGTATAGTATATTATATTCCTATCTAAATTGTATTAAAAAACATTTCAGCCAAGGGGCATGACATTTTTTTACACTTGAAGGAAAATAAAAATTTCTTCATTGTTTTATAGCAAAAACTCATCCAAAAATAATATGGGGTTGTCCAAATTGTATAAAAAGTTAAAAAAGTCATATCCCTAATATATATATATATATATATATATATAATATATATATATATATATATATATATATATATATATATATATATATATATATATATATATTATATTAAAATAATAATAAAATACATTTAAATTTGTAACATAACTCAGAATTTCACGCTATATGCGATCATCAGACGTTACAAACAACCATAACAACAACAAAAATTATATACAAAAATACAATACAGTGCTAGCTTAGATGACGTTAAAGTTGCAGATAACAAATTTGTTTTCGTGGCAACATTTAGATATTAATTCATTTCGCTTATTTAATAGTTTCAAAGGTGATGTAATGGTATGGTATTTTTCCGTTAAACAAAGGTTACATAACTTTCTTCCAGGTTTAAAAGGTTCTTCCCTATCAATAATTTTCAACGTAAGAATAGGATTTGAAAATCCCTTTTTTTTCATTTCCCAGATATATTTAGAAAGTTCTGTGGCATTAGCTTTACTTTCGTGTTGAAAGGAGTTCTTATGCTTGTACCAGCGATATTTAAAGGTGTGCTCTGTTAAACCAATATAATTTAAACCACTATCCTGTGGTGATGTTTTAACATTGCAGATGTAAATTATATTTTTACCAAGACACGTACCTTGCAAAGGACATTGTGAAGGTTGCCGGCATTTACACGTTGGAACAATTGTGTTGGAAACATTAGATAATACTTTTTTATTGTGTAAGTTGATAATATTGGTGAAGTTTGGAAGACAACTATAACTGACTTTTAAATTATTTTTATTAAAAATTTTGCGAAACTTATGTGTCTTTGGAAAATGCTTTTCAATTAGATTTAGAAAAGTTTTTGCAACGTTGGTTTTTACATTTTGCGAAAACGGAGGATTAAACCAAATAATGTTTCGTGATCTTGATTTTGGTTTTGGTGGGGTAAGATTTTTTTGAAAAGTAATATTTTCATTGAACCCACTTGCTGCTAACGCATTGTTATAAAACGATGTTGCTCTATCGAAAACTTCTTTGCTAGATGAAATATTGCTAATACGGTTAGATATCATAGTTGGTACGGATTTAATAATACTAGGAGGGTGGTTAGAATTTACATTGATGTATAATGGGTGGTCACCTGGTTTTCTGTATGGCTGGAAAGTATTTTCTAACAGGTTGAAGGTAACATCAAGAAAGTTAACAATTTTTAAGTTGGTTTTTATAGTAAGTTTTAGATTAAATTTCTCCTTAAAAAGACGATATTCTCTCGGATTGTGGTCCGTTAATTCCATGAAAACAACAAAGCCCATCATCTCTATATAATCTAACGGTTCTCAACCTTAAAAAAACTTAACGGACAAATACCATATCATTACATCACCTTAAACTTAATGGAAAAATACCATATCATTACATCACCTTTGAAACTATTAAATAAGCGAAATGAATTAATATCTAAATGTTGCCACGAAAACAAATTTGTTATCTGCAACTTTAACGTCATCTAAGCTAACACTGTATTGTATTTTTGTATATAATTTTTGTTGTTGTTATGGTTGTTTGTAACGTCTGATGATCGCATATAGCGTGAAACTCTGAGTTATG